ATAAGAAAGGATTAATCAAAGTGTGACCAAATCTTAGCGCTGCCGTTGCGAACACATTAGCCACCGATGGATTCACTTTATTATCATATCCTTTATATTCGCCCAGTTTTGACATTCCCTTCGCTCACAAATAATATATTTTTACTCATTTAGACAATACTTTGTTCACTAAACTATAAGTTGGTTTTAAATTGAAACTCAATTATCAATACTAATAATTTAATTAACTAGATATTTTAAAATAAAATTTTCTTAAAGATTAGTTACGTTTGGGCCCAAGATGTGAGGCAACCAATGGTAGAAAGTAATGAACTAAAAGATGACATAATTGTAGTTAAATATAATGTAAATTGTGATGAGAAGTGAGACCTGCAGCTGTGATCCAACAATTTTTCTGCTTTCCTGATAAACTTGTTCTCCACTCCAAACACTATTTAATGCACTTTTAAAAGACAAATATAAGTTTGAAAAAGTTGTTGTCAATTGATTTAATACATACGACAACTGTTTAGCGATGCGATTGTGTTCTCTGAGCCAAAGTGTGTGCATAGTTAAGAGACCCAACTGTTCGTTAGCTCTGAAATCTCCGGCTAAAAAGCAATCAAAGTCTGACCGTTTGGGGTCCTGTTGGCAGTCATTGGGCAGTCGAGCCTCGTTTTGAGGCAAATATTGCTTTCCATTGATTATCTTTGAGCGCATTAGTCCGACATCTCTTCCAATTTTGTCCCTCAACTCATTGGCGAGACTCGATGTACTGCCATAAACATTAGAGCCATCAATGAATGAAGTCAATTGGTTCACCTGTTCCCGAGGCATCAAAGTGCCCATCGCTACCGATGTCAGTCCACTTCCACACGAAGCGCTCGATCGAATCAATTCTATACAGTTTTGATTAAATGTATGTCTTTTTTTGGTTACATTTCTCCTAATGTCGTCAATTGGTATTTGTATTGAAAAACAGGGATGAATTGGTGAACATGTTTTACTGCAATCCAGTAATTCTCTGTTGAATGCATTAAAACTAACGGAAGGCATAGCGAAGTCGATGTCGTGATCGAGGAACTGTCCGAATTGCATCAACATATGCGAGTGCTTCACGTCTTCACTAACTTTTTTTGCGCTCAACAATTGTTGGCTAACTTTTCTAGCATTTGGTTTCGCGAATCCATTGTATTTTTTATCGGCGAACCAACCGATCGGCAAATGAATGCCGTCTTCGTATTGCGGATCAATGAGTCGCCGGAAAGGTGTCAGAGAAGCGCCCCATAACTGGTTCTCAAGATTATTGCAAACGCCATCATAACTGCGATAAGTTTGATGAGTGCACTCTTCTCTACACCTATTTGTTTGGTAAGAATTATGAAAACGATGTCCGACAAGACATCCCGACAAATGGGCCAAAATATTCAACTGATTTGGCGATAAAAGATCTGCATATTTAAATTGAATTGTTGGCAGTTTTGTCTTCTCTTCCGCTTTCCGTCTTATGATTTCAAGTGTTTTTTCATACATTTCTATAGATTTTGCAAATTCTATAGATTCTGGCGAAAGAGGAAATCTAGCGATTGATCTGAGTTTTGACGGGTTTTCTAATCGATATTTTTTATCCCTAATTGTATGCAATGTTTGATTGATTGCCTGATCCACTATTTCTCTGAAAAGATTATTAATATTTAGAATAAAGCGATCGATTTGTATGGATATATGAAATAAAAGTTCGACCAATACTTTGCTTCTTGAAATGCTTCCAGAATGTCATGTGATTCCAAGTGAGTGTCAATTAGTTGATTGCTTCCACCCCTTACCTTCACATTCACTTCTTTGACGGCAACGCCTAAACTATTATTAGCCATACATTCGTATATGTCTTCATCAGTGGGTTTAATATCTTTAATTTTCAATTCATTGTTATTGACTTTAAAGTTTGTTTTGTGTCTTCGCGTCCATATTATTGAGGGTTCGGGAAAACCGGTGGCAAAACATTTTAATTTGATTGTATCTCCGGTTTGGGTTTCAATCACCGATTCTGGTGTCTCAACGAAAACTGGGGGTACTTTTAAATATAAATTTTGATTTTAATACCAGTATAACTGTACAGTAAAGTGTATATTGTATTTATTTGATTTGAAGTAACTTTAATATTTACCCAAAACATCAATAGAATATATTTTGTAAATTTTATTGAATTCATTGACACATTTATAAATCCCAGAATCGGTTGGCAATAGTTTATTGATAAGAAGTGAACCATTATTTCCAATATTGAGACGATTTGATTGGTTAGGAAATTGAATTTTCGACTCGTTTTTTATCCAAAAAATATTTTCATAATCAGAACAATGAAGTGATAAATCACTTCCAAATGGCTTTAATATTTTCGTTTTTACTAATTCTCTATCGTTTAAATTTTGTGATAATTCTACCAAATTTTGCCTCTCATTCAAAATCAAATCATTTCTCATTGGTTTCAAATCAGTTGATATCTGCGTTGAATTGCATTCAAACTCATCCAAAGATATTTGAAAAAACTTTTTGTTTTTCAATTTTTGGGGCGAATGACAAGTGGCCTCAAATTCATGTATTCTTGTACTGAATCTCTTTAACCATAAGAGATTACAATTACAAATTAGATTATTATTTTCTATATTAATTCTAATTATATTTATATTATTTATAAATGTTTTTGTAGACAACAAAGTTAAACGATTATTTTGAAGATATCTATAAAACGAATCAATAGACAGATCAAGAATTATTTTCATACAAAGAAATGCATTGCAAGTAAACTGACATTTTCTTAAGAGATGGTAAGTCAGTCAAAACCAATTCAGAAATTATTTCAATCTTATTATCATTTAGGCTTAAAATCTCTAAATTATGCAAATTCTTGAAACTATTTTTGCCAATTGTTTTAATCTGATTGTTGCTTAAGTTCCTGTAAAATAAAAAGTGTTGAAATAACTTTTGCAAACAGAAAATACAGAATATATTGACAAGAATTTCAACAATTGATTACAAATAAACGAGTCGTGCGAGTCCTGCAAATAACAGATCTTCCAATTCACTGATTTGATTGTTGTTTAGAAAACTAGAATTTAACATTCAATTAAATTGATGCAAACATAAAATAGTTGCAATAAGTTAAGCACAAAAATCATACAGTTTGGTCAATAGTGAGAGGTGTCTGAAAGGACCGGATCGTAAACTTTGAATGCGATTGTGTCTGACGTCCAGAGATGTGGTCTCAGCCGCTATAATCGGAACTCTATCCAAATTTTTGTTCACACATCCGACCGATGTTTCAAAACAATTACATTTCTCAACACAAAATGGCAATGAATTGCCATTAATTAAATGTATTATTTGAAAATACAACAAAACAAAAATAATTATATTCATTTTATGGGAAAACAGAATTAAATAATTTTACATATCGTTCATCAAATACTGACTTTGGTTTTAATGTGTACTTCTCTTATATAAACATCTGATAAACAATTGATTTATTGCTCACAAACTTTATTAATTTAAGAATAATTTTCATTCATTCAAAGTTATTTCACAAGTTGTTGCAAAACCGATAAATAAACAAATATTTCATTTGATAATGAATTCAATTTTTATTTAAAATAAAATTTAACGATAGAATTGTTAAATTATTGCCCAAATTTTTAAAAGTATACAAAAATATTAAACAATTATTACATCAGTTGTTTAGTGCAATAAATTTAATTCCCATTATATTTAGTGCTATAAAATTTAAAGTTTAAATGAATACTTTCGTGAATAATTTCAAATTTACATTAAATAAAATCATTTTATTATTCAATTTATTCTTATAACTCATTTGAATTTTTACAAATGGAAGACAATTATCACAAAATCTAAAATAATGAGACAAAAAATTAATTAATCAGTGATTAGATTGAAATAAGTTTAAAATACTTTAGTGATAACACCGGCAGCAATGGTCACTCCGGATGTCCTAATCATAAAACGTCCCAAATCTTTATAGTCTTTATGGAGTTCAACGCAAACGGGTCTCTGAACTTCAATCTCGACGACACCGCACATACTGGCCAACAAGCAGCGGGGTTTGCTTTTGATTACCTGACCCGTGCCCTTATGTATCTGAGATATCAGTTTACGCACCACTGCCTGTTCACTGAGGCTCTGGTAATGAAAGATTACTTGAAAGCCCTAAACAAACAATTCATTCATTCATTAATTTAATTACAAATATTAATATAAAACTATTTTTGATTACTCGAGTGATTGGAATCTCAATGCTATTAAATAAAACAATTCTGGCTTCAAATTTGGTGGTGACGGGCGAAGGGTTGGACGCATCGCACATCATATTTCCCACTGACATCTTAGTTACATCACAACCCAATAGTATAAGAACCACGTGATCGCCGACAAAAGCGGTCGGAACAGTCGCGTCGTCAATGGATATGGCTGTCAATCAAACAACACTTTTATATTCAAAGTAACAATAAATATACATTTATTCTTACACTTAACGACACACTGCTCTCCCGCGGGCAAAATGACCACCTTTTGGCCAACAGTGACGGCACCGGCCTCTACACGACCGCTAACACAAACGCCTGAAATGACGCCTTTGAATATATCGCTAAGACATAAACGAAATGGCTTTGAAATGGGACGGTCTGGCGGTTTGAAGTTATCTAACAAACAATGCAATAATATTACAAATTATATTCAATCGAATGTAACATTTCCTATAATACCAATAATTTGGACGAGAGATGGGCCGGAATACCACGAACATAAGGCTTGAATTTTGGACCTTTCGTGCAGATTCTCTCCCGTAAGTCCACTGCAGGGAACATAACTCACGTCCTGCTCTTTAAAGCCAACCGTTTTTAGAAAAACACTTAATTTGTCAACAATTTCCTGATAGCGTTGTTGACTCCAATCGACGTTTTCTAGTTTATTGATCACAACTCCTAACTGAGAGATGCCTAAAGATCTGATCAAAAAGGTGTGTTCGCGGGTCTGTCCGCCCAAATCAAAGCCGGTTTCAAATTCGCCTTTAGTGGCGTCGACCACAAGTAGAGCGACGTCTGCCTGAGTGGCACCGGTTATCATATTAGGGATAAAGTCCTTATGTCCGGGAGCGTCGAGCAAAGTGACGGCACGCTCTTTGGTTTCAAAGCGAGACTCTGCGATATCCATAGTAATGCCGCGACTCCTCTCTTCTTGTGTCTCATCCAAAACCCAGGCGTAAAGAAACGAATTTTTGCCCATTTTTTTCGAATCAGTTTCGTATCTATGAATCGCTTTTTGTGAGACAAAACCCAAACGATATAACAGATGTCCCATAAGAGTGCTTTTGCCGGCGTCCACGTGTCCGATCACAACCATATTGATATTCGGTTTCCCTGTATTTCGATTCTTATTGTATTCACTCAACGCTACCTCCGGAGTCAATGCCTTCGTTTGTAGGGGTTTTGATGCCTTGCTTTCGGAGGCCCTCTCGTGATTCGGTGACGACATTCTGGATCCGGTTCTGCTAGAGATGGGAGAGTTTGGACTCGAGTACTGATGATAATTGCTGTCTAATCGCGATTTGTCTAAATCTTTGCGAACAGGACTCGAAAGTCTATTGTAACCCAAATTTACGGTTAATTTCAGAAATTCAAAAAATTAAACTCGAAATTGTGTTTAACTCACGCTTTAAGATTGGGTTCACTTTTATTAACAGTCAATTGTCCCAATGTTTTATTAATTTTGGCCACTTCTGCATCACATGAGTCACGCATTTCTGTGTAAATAGAATTAATAATTTCAATATTTTAGAGACAATGAGACAACTCTACAACAGAACCTCTATTTCCAGGTTTGAGATTTCTTATGCAATCGTCTGGAGATTCGGTCTCAAAATTAAACACTTTTATATCGTTTCGATCAAAGTATTCAATTAAAGATTGCTTTATATCGCAATTACGAGTGCTTTTTATCTCATTATTTGTATTGCATTTTGCGGTCAGACTTACAAATAGAGGAGAACTACTCTTTGACTTTTCAGTGCTATATATTTGCTTAAAGTCGCTATTGTTTGCGACCGAATTCATAGATTGCCTTTCGCTCACACTTTCCAATCGCTTACCTAAAATCAAATTCAAAATCATATCATATTTAGTCATTACAATATATACTCATCATGTTTAATGTTTAATTTTAGTTTTAAACTCTTAATCATGTATGAAATGTACAGTAAAGCAACTAAAAACGTGCATTTTTTCGAACCTAATACAGCATAATAATAACTATCGCAATTATTTTACCGGTTTTTAGCATTAGCTAAATAAAGCGTTTTATGAGTAATTAACGCATTAATTGTTTTAGGTTACAGTCATATCAATATTTTATGACTAAATATATGACACTATTTGACTAATTAAATAATGACAAGAGAATAGCAAAATAGATGTTTATTATACCCCCAGTAATCACTATAATAGTTGCTAAAAAGGGTCAAATAGTTACAGTTCGCCAATCGGGTTGACTACGAATAATAATATGGCCAGAGTTGGCGTACCCGTCACTGTTGGCCATTCCATAGCATATCATTACATACATTAGATATTGAACATTTGAAAAGTACGGGTTTTGTATAATTTCTATTATTGTTTGAGCATGATCCATTTTAATCAAAATTCAACCATTTTTACCGAAATAAATGCTCTCCAATAGGAATACATAATTTAGACGGGGAGTCATAGAACGTAAAGTATTGCTGAGTCTACAACTAATAATACATTAGTTCCTCCAAATTTACATCTTCCGGCAAATTCCCATCTTTTGGGAGAGAAGATATCGGAAAAATACAAATCTTCCCAAAAGTGTAACACTAATAACTACAGTATATGCAACTATTTGACCCTGTTAATTGTTTTGAAAAGTCCCATAAAAAACAAAGTTTTGATGTATATAATTAATACAGAGTTTAAATAAATAGAAATATCAAAATTTAAATAAAAGTTACATTTCAATGCAATATTAAGAAACTTGTCTGAGAATGCAATCAAATTGATCATAATATTGATGAGTGTTTGGGAGGACATGGAATCAATGCTGTCAACTGAGCACTCATTGAAAGCATGCAATTAATAAATACCTGTATTGATGTCTGTATTGATGGCCCCATTTGTCTGACTCTGCAAACTATTGGTGTGAACGTTAAGAACTGAATCCAATGCCAATTTGATGTCATAATTATGCATCTTTGCCGCTCTTATGAGCAAACTCTGAGGTATTGTCTCTCCGACCACATTCTCCATCTCTTCCACACACGATATCAGTTTGGCTTTCATTGAACAATACATTTAGACATTAATTACGGAAACATTTTTAGCTAATTATTAAATCATATTTTAAAAGGTTGTCTACTATTTGCATAAAATTGCACTTAAAGTCAATGTTAGCTTTGATTGTTTGCTTTGATTGTTACCTCTTTCTAATTGATCCATATCTGAAACATTCTTATAGAAATCGAGATCTTCTTCGTCGTCGTCCTCTTCAGCGGTACTCGTATTCATCAAATCGACGGACGAATCGCTGTTTTGTCTTTGAGACGAAGATTGTGACCGATTGTACATAAACTGACGCTCTGTTCAATCAATACAAACTGTGATTATCTGTAATGTCTTAATGAATGGTAAGCTTTGAATGGATGGCAAACCAGTGTTCGGTGAGATACAGATGTCTTCCTCTAAGGACTGGCCATAAGTGTTGTAATACTCGTCGTATTCTTCATAAAGAAAATGAAACAATAGATTAGATAACGAGTTATGGATGTGTTGGAAGTGATGCTAACCCTCGTTGTAATTCAAATTCTTCACTCCTCTATGTCTCGACATTTTTGTCATAAATATTTGAAAACTATTTCATTAAAAAATGTTTAAACAAATGGTGAATGAATTGAGAAAGCATTTTAACGTTTTATTTGATATAAAATATGTTTGAATTGTTATTTGAAACACATATTAATGCTAACAATAATTGAGTGACAATTGAATCCGATTTACAAAACAAATCACACATTCATTGAGTGCTGAGTCCAGAGATGGCAGTCGTGTCCACACATGCCCTCCAAACACAACATCTGATGACAACAAACAAACTTTTTGGTCATTTAAACTTGAGTTGCGTTTAAAAGGCAATCACTTACCACTCATTTACCACTCATTTTACTGATCATGTCTTCAAAAGTGGTAACTCTTGTGACCGGAAATGAGAATAAACTCAAAGAAATTGTCAAAATATTGGGGAAATCGCTTCCGTTTGAGGTATTGATGAGAAAATGTGATCAGAATTGCAAACATAACTGTAATTACAGTTATTAATCACGGATTTGGTTTGAAATGACAGTTAGTTTCAAAAGACGTGGATTTGCCTGAATTTCAAGGCGAGGAGAGGTATATAATAGTCGCCAAATGCAAAGCCGCCGCACAACTCATCAAAGGACCCGTCATTGTTGAGGACACTTGTCTTGGGTTGCGTTGAATCACATGTTGTATGTGTCCATCATTTCGTACTAACGTTTGTCAAACACTTATTACTACAGATTCAACGCTTTGGGAGGACTTCCCGGGCCTTACATTAAATGGTTTCTACAATCGTTAGGACCCAATGGTTTGCACCGACTGTTGACCGGTTGGGACGACAAGAGTGCGAAAGCCATCTGTAATGTTGCCTATTGTGAAGACGCCAACAAATTGGATGACATCCACGTCTTCAGGGGTGAAGTGGACGGCCGTATAGTAGAGCCTCGCGGGCCAACACATTTCGGTTGGGATCCATGTTTTGAACCGTTAGGATATACACAGACTTTCGCACAATTGGATAAAGAAATCAAAAATACAATGTCTCACAGATTTCTGGCTTTTGATAGTTTGAAACAACATTTTGAAAGACGATTAAATGGTTGAGAATTAAGTTTATATAATTGTGTTTAAAATGCAATTCTATTAAAATGAATAAATAAGCAAAACATTGAAATGTCAATTCATTTATTTAACAATACAATATATTTCGTATAAAACATATAATCTGTTAATTGACAGCACATTCAGTCATATTTTGTTAAAATTTTCAAAATGATTCCTGTGCTCAACAATTGTGGTAATGATTATCCCTTAATCCCAATCACAAGTGAAAATAATGCCAAACACCTCAACATACCATTCAAACATACATTTGGTTTATACATAAAGATATGTCTTAATATCAATGCAAGTGATTTTAAAACTAATAAATTTATCAACATTTGAAATAAATGGTTGTCTTCTCAAAGGTCTACAAATAGTGTCAGCAATGTTTCGATACAATAATTAGTTAAAAACGTAAAAATGGGATACATTTGTGGACAAGTAATCAATAATTAGTTAATTAATATATAATTTTATTTTAGATTATGTTTGACTGACAACAACCCCAAAGAAGGCCCAAATATTTAGTTTTTAAAATATAATTTAGTTAATCGTTAAAAAGTAATGCAAAATCGAGCCAACAATCGATCTCTTTATAGTCTTTGCTTTGAGATAAAAGGCAACAAAAAGATCTGAATATATATTATATTATAAATTATATATAAGAAAAATATAAAAAGTGAAAAATCTTAAAATAACACATTTTCTCCCAATTATTATCACAAATAATTATTACACTAATGAAGAAAAATATTAACTTTAAAATTAATGCCCAAAACAAAGTGGAAGACAATTAAGACAATTGAATAAAATTATAAAATAATAATAATAATAATACGACAATAGAATTGTTTGAATTAAATCACAGATGAATTGCTTTTATGACAACTGAATATTAATTTGCTTTTCATTCTCAAAAGAGGTATTCATATGTTTTTGATATAAAATTCTGACATTAATTCACGAAAATAGGAATGAATTGAATTTAGTTTGAATCCCAGTTATTAGTGTTTTAGTGACTGATTTAAATGATTGCACCAACAGTTGAGACAATTATTGTGATAATTGGCTTATCGTGTATTCGCTAACATTTGGCACTTCAACCAAAATCATGTGAAGGCTTTGATGAAGAAGTTGTCTTAAGTTTTCAAGAACTGGGCTTTTCTCTCATTTGTTACTTTGTTTTTAACATACAATTAATGGGCTATTATTCACGTCTCGCCCGACGTTTTTTGCCCACAGATTTGAACTCTTCTTCTTCTGACGGTTTTATTTCTAAAATAAATAGTTATTTAAAAAACATTTTGAATTATTTGTGTATAAAATATTCATACCATTGGGAATGTCTATAGAACTGACATTTTCCGACTCATTGACTGCAACTGAAACAATATTATCATTGCTTTCATTGTTCACTTGAGCGACAGTTTGTTTCTTCTTATTCTTCTTCTTGTTGTTTGTGGTATTAATTGAATCGCTTTTGTTGTGATCATTGGTCTCATAGTTGGCGACTATAGATGCCGTCAATTTGTCGGAAACATCTAAATTAGTCTTCACTTCATTTCCGGCCAAAGGCTCACTCTTTGGCGTCGAGTCTGACTCCGACCCACGCTTTTGGTTACGTTTTTGCCATTTCTTGCCAACTCTTTGCTCTTTTGCCAACTCGTAAATATCCAAGTCTTCAGACACCTGTTCCTCACCGTTCACTTCAATCACCTCTTTTACCTCATTTTTGTTCACTTTCTCCTCACTCTTCACTTCAAGCACTTTATTGCTCTCCTCTTTTGCTTTTGAATCGGACTTAACAGTCGCTGCAATCACTTTCTCGCTCTTCTTTGACTCCGTTTTAGGACTCTTTTCAACATTTTTCTCCTTTTTATTGGTTTTGTTTTTCGGCGAATCATTTGATTCAACCAAAAGCTTTTCCTCCTTTTGTTTGCGATTCTTGCGCTCCTTCTTCGAGATCAGTTCAACCCATTCGCCCGAATCCTTGTCTTCAAACTCTTCGGCCAAACCATCGTTTTTCTTGTTTTTCAATCTTTTAGAAACACTTTTCTTCTCAGTGTTAGCGTTGGTCGCAGTCTTTGCCGAAGACTTTGATTCAACGCTCGCCTTCTTTGGTGTCTTCTTATCGGCTGTTTTAACGGATCCGTCGTTTACGTGACCATTGGGTTCGCTCTTCGGTTCGGTTTTAGTGCTCGTTATCTGAAGTGAGAGATAAGACAAAGCATTGCTTAGTGTTAGGGCTGATGGAGTGATGGTGTGAAGGGCTGATGGTAACTATGATTGGTTGCAAACCTTGTGAGTGTTTGGTTTCTTCCTCTTGAGAGGCAAGTCATGAATTCTTTGGTTCTTGTGGTGAGTGTTGAGGGCGTCGAACACCTCTCTGGAGGGTTGGGGTGTGTTTGCAGTGAATCCAAAGGCAAACACCAAAACAGTTACCACTACTATAACCGGCGCCACATATAGCGGCTCCGCCACCATCACTGACAACACTTCCCAAGACATGGCCGACACTTACCGATCACTTCCTCATTAAACGACAATTCAAATGAATGCAAAGAAACCACAATTGAAGACAAAATGACAATTAATTGGCAAATATTGAGTCAAGAGTTGAATCGATTGAGTGTTGAGTGAATGTTGAGTTGAGGCACACGTCGACTATTAGAGCCATTCGAGACACTCTTTACATACGGTTTACCATTGCTTTCAATACCATTGCATTCAACGCCTTGTCATTCACTGCAAGTCTGCACTACTGTTCACTAATTACGTCAAACACTTCAATTCACTTACAGTTTACTTAATAGTCACTTATTGTACATTTAATTCAATTTAGTTGACAACTATTACTGTAGTATATTGTATAGTAGATTACATGGATGACAATGGTCAATATTATAATTTATAATTATTAATATAACTGCTCATGCACATATTAGAAAAACATCACTCATCATTAGTTTTCTAACTAGTAAGTTGTTCAAAAATGAGTGTAATGTATAAAACAAAATCTAACTATTTGTTAAACTAATGCTATAATAAACTAACCTTTATTTGTAAAATCACGTAAAAAGTTATTTTTCAAGACATACAATGCATTAATTTGTTAAGAACTTAACGATAATGTTAATTATTATCCATAATGTTATATATAACGTTTCAAATTATATATTAGAAGCTATATCATTTAGCATATTGATTTTAATTCAATTTGAATCTTAGAAATTAAATTTTTAAATACTTGTTTAAAATTGTTGTTTAAATTGGAATTTATTAAATAGAAAACCAATTATTTTTAAAAACACTTTGTATTCATAACTTAAGAGTTATTTAAAAACATTAATAAAGAATTGACTGTAATTTTTGAATGAATATTTTTTACAAACAATTGTAAGCTTTTCTGTTATAAAGTAATATAATTATTAAAACTCTTATTTTCATTAATTTATATTTAATCAATGATAATATTACATTTTTTGTAATAAGGTACATGAAGTAATTAAAACATTGTTATGATATTATAAATTATATGGTAATTCTTACTTTCTCTTATACTAATTATCGTTACAAATGTTTTACAATATATGTTATAAAGTTTTTGGCGTTAAGAACTAATAGTGATTTTATACTAATTTACAAACATAATACAGTATACTTTTAATGTGAAAATGTAATTGTAATACAGAATGTAGAAATGAATTTTAACAAAACAAATAAGTTTACATAAGTTTAAACATTTAAAAATATAGTTGACTTTGACTAACAATATAGCAACAATAAAATTTATTTAATATAGTCTTTAGTACTGTATCTTATTTAACCATTATAAGTTATAATTTATAACATTACACCATTCTAGCGGATAAAGTATTAAACGAGATTAGTCAAATATATAAAT